GGATGTGTCCCCTTGGTGCTCAGCGGGGTGGAGGGGCTGGGGGAGATGTGCAGGGTGTGTGTCCTACAACCACTGTGTTTTGCTCCATCTGAATTTTAGGGAGGCCGAGGATCTGATGGCCCAAAGGGAACCCCAGGACCACGGGGAGCCCGGGTAACTAATGGGGTGCTGGCACTTGGAGCATCTTTGGCAATGGGAAATGGAAACAACCCTGGAGACCCCTCGTTGGGTGGCTTGAGCTGTGCTGGGGCAGAGCCACGGCATCCTCGGCCACCAGCTTTGCCATGGAAAAGCCTCCAAACCTGCAGCTTTGCTGCTGGCACAAGGATGCTTTTCTTAACACTCGCTGTTTTCCAGGGCCGCGTGGGTCAGCGCGGGCTGGTCGGAGTCCCTGGGATGCCCGTAAGTAGATGACCCACGTCCCTGGGCTGGCACGTGGTACTGCCAGCGCTGGGATGGGAAGCCAGGTCTCGGGGAGCAGCATCCCGGGATGCAGCCGAATCAGAGGGTCAGGCTCTGTTTGGGAATTTGCACAGGATACACCGGGGATGAGCAGCTCAGGCTTTTGCATGTCACACGTAGCGTTTTGACAAACCACCTGCCCAGCACCACAACTTCCCTCTTACCCTGGGCGTAGAAAAGGCAGGAAATCACAACTTTTTATGAAAATTCTGCTAAGTCTGTTGAGTAAAATCCTGTTAAGAACAGGTTGCCCAGAGAAGTTGTGGGTGCCCCATCCCTGGAGGTGTTCAAGGCCAGGTTGGATGGGGCTTTGGGCAACCTGGTGTAGTGGAGGGTGTCCCTGCCCATGGCAGGGGGTTGGAACTAGATGATCTTGAAGGTCCCTTCCAGCCCAAACCATTCCATGATCCTAAGTCGTGTTTGGTGAAGGAGCCAGGAATAAACAACTGGGACAAGAAGGGGTGAAAAACACGGTCAAGGTGTTCACAGTGGGAACAGTTTTCCTCCCACACTCCTGTTGTTTCCCAGCAATTGCGTGATTGCGTCCTAAGGTGGGATGGAGCAGGGAGGAGCTGCAGGAGCTTTGCAGGGATGAGCCATGGACTAACGAACCCAATACAAGCACCCTGAGGACCATCCCACAGCTGATTTTCCACTTTTTAATACTGGAGGGAGGCTCTGGGGCTGGATGAGCCCTTGATGTGAGGTCACCCTTCCACCGGGCTCTGCTTTCTTAAGACGAGACTCTTCTTCCAGGGCTTGCGGGGCATCCCAGGAGAAGAAGGAGCAGAAGGAAAGCCTGGTACACAGGTTCCCATCCTACGCTCTGTACTTGACTGCGGGCAAGGGCTGGGGCGGTGGGTTGTATCGAGATGGGGAGCTGAGACCAATGGAGGGGGACACTTCCCAACCCCACCATCCCCATGGCCATGCGGGTCAAGACCTTGATGAGACGGGGTGTCCCCATCTCTGCTCATCAGTGATCCCATGTGCATGAGCCGGCACAGTGGGAGAAGCTGCCTCCACCTCCCCATCCTCATCATCACCTGCCTTGTCATGCAGGGTCCCCCAGGGACCACGGGCAGCCCAGGAAGGAGAGGACCACCGGTAAGTAGAGCTGCACGACTGATTTCTGTCCTTCTTGGCCTCTGCTTGGCTGTCCCCACTTGGGGATGTGCCTCAAAAGCTCAGGGAAGAGCTTCTCCATCCCTCCTGTTTCTGCCTTCCTTCCATCACTCATCTTCTGCCCTTTCTTCCAGGGTTTTGCCGGGATGCTGGGAGGCCGTGGGCACGCTGGACCTCCTGGATCGATAGTAAGGAGAAAATACAACAATTATGTTCTTTCTGTGTGAACCCTGCATTTTCTTAGGCGGGAAGTCAATGAGGCTGGTGGCACTGGTGGGGAATATGGGACTTTCCCACCTTGGGAACTGGCAGGGGATCGAGATGTCTGCAGGACCTGAATCTTTTGTTGTTAAAAGGCATAAAAAAGCCTCAGCAGCAGAAGTAGCTGGGGCTGGGGAACAGCAGAATAATTCCCGCAGGGAATCAGCCTGCCCAAGGGACTCTGCAGCTTCCCCGAGCCAAGTATCATCACCTCCCCTGGTGACAACCCTGCTGGAGAGCCAGCCATGGGGTGTTGGCATGCAGGAGCCACCAGGATGGGTCACGGTGGCAGTTTGTCCCCAGCAACCCGGTTTGGACCAGGTGACACCTGTCTGCAAGCACAGAGGCAGCAGCGGTGGCTCAGTGGGGTTTGTCTCATCTCAGCCTTTTGACTGACATCTCCTCCCCAAATATTTCCAAAGGGCTCTCTGGGAAAACCTGGACCTGATGGAGACCCTGGTTCCTTGGGCCCAAAGGTGAGAGCTGGGGCTTGGGGGGGCTGGTTCGAGCAGTACTGGTGGTGAACAGCTCTGAGGGGCTCTTGGCAGCTGTGGGAAGACCTGGGGGGATCCCACGGGTTTGGGCATGGACCCCAAGGACAGGAAGATGCCTGCCCGCATCCCAGGAGTGGGGGTCTGTTAATGCCCTCCTCTCACTTGGCAGGGGCTGCCTGGGAAGCCTGGCTTGGAGGGGCCGCAAGGACCTGTCGGCACCTATGTAAGTGATGCCCCTGCCGCTGTAGGGGGGTCCGGAGCTGCCTCCCTGCCCACAGGCAGCAGCTGGGCTGGGGGGAAGGCTGGCACCATCCTGCCAGGGCTGCCACCATGCTCCGGGGTCCTGCCTTTCCCTGGGCAAGAGCTCAGCTGCAGCAGCCACCTTCTCCCAAAACCCCGGAGGTGCTGGGCAGCCCCAGGTGCCTCCTAACGCTATGCCCTCCCCAGGGGTACCCGGGACCTGCTGGCGACCGTGGGAGGCCAGGACGCAGGGGAGACAAGGTAGGGCTGGGAAATCCTGCATGGCAGGGAGGGTATGCGCTGGGGGGAGCCCAGGCTTCGGAACGTTCTTGGGTTGGGCTGTTGAATGCAACGGATGGGTCTGGGTGGTGGCTGTGAACGGTCTTCTTCAGCTGCACCAAGGAGGTGGTGGTGCAGTAAGAGGAGAGCGGCTGGAGCTGGCTCCCACGTTGGGTGAACCGCTGGTTCTCCAGCACTTCATCTGCCCCAACTCCTGTGCCTCGTTACAGGATGCCAGGCAGCTGTGTTGTGTTGGGTTTTGGTTTTTCTTCTTTAAGAGGTTACTGCATTAAAACATACGGGGGAAAGGAAATCTTTCTTGCCTCCTAACAGGGAGAAATGGGAGCTCAAGGCCTGCCGGGATTTCCAGGAAAAGCTGGTCCCAAGGTGAGTGCTCCAGCCCTGCTGGAGCAGGTCACCTTTGCTGGGCTGGGCATGGGAAAATGGGAAATCTTTTGGTATCAAGGGGCTAAGAGAGGGGAGCAGTGGAGGCTGCAGCACGGGACTCTGATGACCTTCTCTTCCCCCAGGCCCTGCCAGGTCCCCCTGGTCCACGAGGTGCTCCTGGCTCCCAGGTAGGGCTCCCAGTGCTCCTGGTGCACCTGGCTTGTTCTGCTCCCTCTGCCACAGTGCCCTGCAGATGTGCAATATACACCGTGTGCTACCTATAGCATTAGCAGCGTGGACCCCAGACCCTTGTTGCTGAGTTTGGTCCTGATGCTGCACAGAGACAGCTGAGGTGGCCCGGGCACACGGGGATTGTCCGAGCAAAGCCTCACCCTGTGCGGGGTTCCCCGTGCCTCCTCGCCATGCCCACGCTGCTGAGCACCCTTCTTTTTCCAGGGCAGAGCGGGAGATCCGGGTCCTCGAGGGCTTCCAGGGCTGCCTGTAAGTGGGAGAGCTGTGGCTCGCAGAGATGCTCTGTAGGCTGAAGTTGGGTGATGTCCAATGGGATAAAGATAGGTGGCCGTGCTGGAGACAGCTTCATCCCTGAGCTGGTCATAGGGCAGAGAATGACCCAAACCCTGCATGGGTGGCTGGGTGGTGACAGGTCGGGTACAGGGACAGCAGTGTACCCGCGGTGATGAGGCACTGGTACCCACCAGGTGCAGGTGGTACCTTGCAGACTCCATGGTGGCCCAACTGCTTCAGGCACAGGGCTCCTGCTGGCACCACCTTCCCTGGAGCTGCACCCTGCACTGTGTTTTGGGATGCCTAAGTGGCCTTTTGGCCTTGCAGGGCGCCCCCGGCATGCGGGGGCTGGACGGCGTCCCCGGGAAGCCTGGCTCGGCAGGAGAAACAGGGGCTCCTGGAGTGGCTGGTGCTGCTGGCCCGCCTGGCTACCCGGTGAGTGCAGATGTGGCTCCTTCGATCGATGCCCAGCACAACCTTCTGCCCCAGCCAGTGGGACAGGGTGCAAAAATTTTGCTGGTGCAACGCGTTTGGGGAGCTCCCCAAAGCACCTGCAGGAAGGGAAGGAAAAGGGAAGCTCGTGCAAGGGGTCCTGAGCTGATGAGTGGTTTCTCTGTCCATGGGCACATGGTGTGCTGGGGCATCCCAGATCCTGCCACCCACCCTCGGGAGCTGTGAAGGCCTCCTGAGTTAAGGCAATGGGTGTGGACTGTTTGCTTTCAGGGACGGGAAGGTCCAAACGGACCTGAAGGGCCTCTGGGGAGGAGAGGAGAGAAGGTAAGGACGGAGAAGGTGGTTTGGTTCTCCTTGCTGCCCCTGTGAGCCAGGAGCTGCCGACAGGCAGAGCCTTGGGCTCGCTCTGCTTGCCCGAAGTGGGGTGGGTGTCCCTCCCCATGGCCTTTGGTGCAAGCACCCCTCCCAGTTTGGCCACTGGCTTTGCACGGTGGGATGGGATTGACATGGGAGAAGAGCCTTGGAAGCCCTCCAGGGCAGCAGGGCGCACAGAGGACCTGTGTGGAGGACACCACAGCTGCATACCCTGATGTCTGGGTGTCCTCTGGCAGGGTGACGCAGGAGATCCCGGGGAAGCTGGCATCAGTGGGCTGGATGGTGAGCAGGTACGTTGGCCGGGAAGCCCTGTCTTTTTTTCCCGCCCGCCTCTGCCTACGGCCCTTCTCCAGGGACAGGGAACGAAGGCAGGAGGTCGCTGACCCTCAGCTAATTCAGAAGGTTCAAGCTGTGTCCGCGTGAGCTGAGCCAGCGCAGGGTGGATGAGGTGTGTGTTTCATCTCTAGGGACCACCGGGAACGCCGGGAGCAGACGGTCAGCCGGGGCCCAAAGGCGAGCAGGTCGGTTCCCACTGGGTGCTGGGGCGATACTGGTGGTGGTGCTGGGCTCGCCTGGCCCCGCTGCTGCGGGCAGGTGCCTAAATCCATGTAGGGCTGTTTGAAATGCACCTCAAATGCCTGGGGGTTTGTGTTGCTGGTCATGGTAGGGGGGTCCGGGTCCCCTCAAAGCTTGAGAACGTGGTACAAGGAGAACTGTATGGTGAGAAACAAGGGAGGGCAGAGCCAGGGTCAGCTGGAAAAGACAGCCAAGAATAATCCTGATCGTCTCCATCCTGTCCAGGGAGAGGCAGGAACCTGTGGAGCTCCAGGCAGCAGAGGGGGTCCTGGGGAGCCGGGGGACGCTGGGCCAGAGGGGCTGCCGGGGAGGCCCGGGGAGCAAGGAAAGGAGGTACGTGTGCTGACCGACACCATGGGGTCACTGCTGCCCACCGGGGCTGGGGACAGGAAGGGCATACCACCCACTGCACTGGCACTGGACCTGTGCCATGGCTTTGCTGCAGGCAGGCTGGGGTGCCCCATGGAGGGAGGGGGCTGATGCCGTGGGCTCCCTTTGCCGGGCGAGGTGCTGCTCGGCTGCGCTCAGCAGCCTGTCCCGGCTGTGGGATCGTGTGGGTCACAGCCGGGGTGACCTCCTGCTGCGGGCAAAGCTGCGGGGCCATCCTTACCCAGCACCAAAATCCTGACCAGAGGAGGGTGGAGATAGCCATGGAAGTCCGAGCTCAGCTTTTAACCCCCCTGGGATGGAGCTGGGGAGCAGCCGCCGCGCCTGACGCCGCTATTTCCCCTCCGGGCAGGGTGATGCTGGTGATGCTGGAGAGCCGGGTGAGCCAGGACCGCAGGGACAGAAGGTGAGGAGTGCCTCTGACTCTGTCCCTCCTCGCAGCACCCTGGGGACACCTGTAGCCTGCTCGGCCTCCGCTGCTCCGTTTGCCGTGGTGGGGGCAGAAGCAGGACAGGGGTGTCCCCGTGGCCGAGGACCGCTGGAGGTGCAGGGCTGGGACCCAGCATCCCGAGCACCCAAGGGTCAACCTCTGTCTGCAGCACCCAGTGAGAGGGTGAAACACGTCATCTCCATGCAGAAGCTCATTTAATCACTATTTCTTTTTCTTCTTTGTGGTGACACGTCTGTCTCCGTCCCTGAGCAGGGTGATGCTGGCCCCAGGGGCCCTCCCGGAGCGCCCGGCCCGGGAGCTGCTACGGGGGAAATTGGAGAAAAGGGCCATAAAGGAGAGAAGGGCCAAGAAGGTTTGCTGGCAAGTACAGAGGGGGCTGCCTCAGCCCCCCAGGCATCCCCACAGGCTGGCGGGTGGGTGCTGGGTGCCAGGGATGGGGGTTCACCCCTGGCGGGAAACCTTGGGCTCCGGGAGCTGCAGAAAATACTAGGATTTGGCAAATTCCATAATTAGGGAGTTTTGTGTTTCATGGATGTGCCTCCTGCCCCCCAGCTGGGCTGGGACCCTGCTGAGCACATCTGCCCCTCTGTGTCCCAGGGCCAGGTCGGTGTCACTGGAGCTGCGGGACCTGCTGGAGCCAGAGGACGGTTTGTAAGTCAGATTGTGTTCCCCCTCCCATTATGGCTGAGCACGGAGCTGGTGGGGGGACGTGTGTGTGACCAGGAGCACTGGGCACGGGTGTCAATGGGTGTCCTTTACTTGTGCCCGGAACAGGGTGGGACAGGTCTCCGAGGTCCTCCTGGGCTTGATGGTCCTGAGGGAGTGAAGGTACGGTGGGGTGATGGCTCCAGCCCTTCATCTCTGGGTGAAATGCCCTTTTTGGGTCTTTTCCCAAGCTCTGCTTTCAGCCTCTGGCTGACGGGGAACGTGGTGGGGGTGGCTGTGGTGGAGATGCTGGGGCAGACCTGGGCAGGCTGGGGACCTGCCGTGGGGCATTCTCTGCCTTGTTGCCCAAGATCCAAAGTCAACAAGGCGAGGGCGGGGTTTGCCAGAGGCAGAGCTCTTTCCCGTTCTTCCCCAGGGAGATCCGGGGCCACGAGGCAGGGACGGCCCTGCTGGTGCTGCAGGATTAGAGGTACTGACGCCTGGGATCTCTAGAGCCGGGAGCTGCCAAAGGCTTCCCCAGTGCGTCACCAGCTCCTATACAAACCAAAGCCAAAGGATTTATCACCCCTTAACTGGCCACCCGGGGGGCTCAGGAGTGAGGAGGGGTTTCTGACACCTCGCGTCTTGGCACTGACTCCCAGGAGGTTCTTACATGCCCCTACCCTAAAAGATCAGACTGTTTCAGTCTGGTGCCCAGGGGTGCCCTCTGGAAGACGTCTGTCGCATGACGTTGGCTCCCGCGCTGTGCCCAGTGCTGCCTGGGCCCTTGCCCAGCCGAGTGTGGTACGAGGGGAAGGATGCTTAAAACACCCACAGAAGTCCTGAGCACAAAGCACGTGGTGACGGGCTCATTCTGAATCCCTGACATCCCCGCAGGGACTCGCTGGAGAGGATGGAGTCAAGGGAGATGGTGGCAAACCCGGTCCTGCGGTGAGTACCAACCCTGCCCCTCCAAAACCTCCCCGGGAAGGGGGTTTGGTGACACCTTGTGAAGGAGCAGCAGAGCCTGGGGCTCTATGCTGTAGTGCCACTCTGCCCAGGCACGATGGGTCCTTAACTTGGGCAATTGCCTTTGCTGGGAGAGGTCGGGATGCGGAATAAACTGAGAGCAGCCGCCCTGTCTCTGTGCGCTGCAGGGTGCAGTGGGTGCCCGGGGACCAGCGGGCACCCCCGGGCTCCGGGGATACGCTGGCCGTGGTGGAGCCAGAGGAGCGGCAGGTGCCAGGGGAGAGCCGGGCCGGCAGGTAACTGCTCTGTCTGCGGCGGGGACGGGCAGGGGACATCCAACAGGGTGACCCTCCCGGGCACAGCTCCGGCCCTGGACAGGAACGACCCAGTCCAGACCCCGGAGCGAGGCAGCTCCATAACCCGCAGCTGATGCCAGCTTCGTGTCATGTCCCCAAATGAATGCAGGGTCCTCTCGGGCCACCGGGCGAAGCTGGAGCCACGGGGCCGAGGGGCACCGAGGTGAGTGAGCTCCTTTGCTGCCCCACATCTCCGTCTCCTGCTTTTCCCAATCTGTGCCATTCCAGCAGCCTGCCCGGGATCTGGGTGAATATCCCTAGTGCTTATTTTTTGGAGTTGGGTTGACTTTTTTTGTTTTCATTCCCTAGGGCCTGGCGGGTGCGAAAGGGGAGCCAGGCAAGCCAGGGAAACCGGGGCAGACGGTGAGGAGTGGGACGGAGCCCTGCTGGTTCTCCCTGGCACAGGCAGTGGGGTGCTGGGATCTCCTGGTTCTGGCCAGGTCCCACATGGGCAGCATCTCCTGCTCC